AAGAAGGGGAGATAAGGACGATAGATGTTTGATAGGAAAGGAGAAGTAAACCACACCAGAGCACCCGCCAACCACCCACTTTTATTATCTTATCACAATGAAAAGTGACATGCACATTCAGAGAGATTGAGTAAATCACATATAAAAATACATTTCCTTAGTAAAAATCATAGTTCTGAATTACAGGTAATTTGCAAATTTCACATTTTTTTAAAAACACAGTTCGGATATGTTTGTATTATCGCCAAGAATAATTTGACCGATATCTTTGTCCAGTAAACTTTGGCAGTCTGTTCAGAACAGATTAATTTTCACATAAATTAAAAGCACATGAACAGGCTCAAAGATAGTACCAATCACTCTATATGCCCAAAAAGTGACAAATGCCTGATTCCACCACATCGTCACTCAAATAATGTAGGTGATGGCAAAAACTTACATTTACAATTTCTGTATTGGTGATGATAAAAACTTACATTTACAATTTTCTGAGTCGGTGATGGCAAAAAGTTACATTTACCTTTTATTGTGAAGGTGATGGTAAAAACTTACACTTACAATTTCCTTTCACTGATGGACAGAACAGAAGAAGGCAAGATCAGACTTACAGAATGCGCTCATATGACCAAAGCAGTTGCGAGGCCAGTAAAACTCTTACAAAAAAAAAAGACTTACGGAATATCCATCCCTCTGGTACAGGTCGTTAAAGTTCGGCGTGATGTTGTCGGAGAGCCAGCGGTACCGGTTGATCATGGTGGTGTCGGAGACACGGAGAATGCTGCGTAGGCCCCACACAGGGCCGCCCTCTTGGGCCGTGAACAGACCCAGGATCTTCGTCTCTCTCAGGGGCACGCCTGCAGGGAAACATAATAATAATAATAATAATAATAACAGATAACATTTGTATAGCGCAAATCCCTGCTCAACTGCAGGCTCTATGTGCTTCACAATCTATACTACACACACTGCCGAAAGCTGACAAAAAAGCTTTTTTTCTTCTTCAGCGCAGTTTTGAGAAAAAAAAGGGGTTTTGTCAGTGTAATCATTTTAAAATAGAGTCATTTTGAAATTTGAATTCTAATGTATTAAAAAAAACTGGTCGCACTTTCATTTTCATTTTTCCACACAAGTAGGGTTACCGATCAGGCTTTCAATTTAGCAACAAAAAAATTTGAGTGCCAAATGATAAAGGCGTTTGTCAGCTTACAGCGCCACAGGGGGAGTTTCATTTTGTTTGAGTAGGTGTTTTACGGCACTATCGACTCTGTTTTGGTCATCACGGGGGGGGGGGAGTTTGAAGGAAAGGGTTAAAATAAGTTACGGCACTTGTAACACAAATTGGTCAGATAAGTGCTGAAGTTTAGAGGTGTTACAAAAGAACAACAAAAACGGAAAAGGGGTGGGTGGGGGGGAGACAGGGAGGGAGGATGCGAAACTGATTTCATAGTGACTGACAAGACACAGGTAAAAGAAAAAATTGCAGGGGCATGAAGGGGAAAACCAGAAATCAGTTCCCTTCTTCAAAGCCTTAAAGGTGTCAAATAATTTAATATAGAAAGACAAAACATAAATTAGAGACTTTAAGAGAAAAAGAGGAAAAAGTCATGACTGACAACGACTTACTCAGGGAATACTCAATCTTGTCGTCAGTGTCAGCGTCCATGTAGAATCTGTGGACGGTACAAGAGGTACAAGAGTCGAGTCATACAGACAACAACATAAGTTAAGGGCCACTCGCAAATAAGGCTAAAATTCCCCGAGGATTTGCGTGCTGTATGTGGTGGTTTTGCCCCTATAGGAAGCTTTGAAGAACGCATTGTTTACCCAATAACACTTTCAGAACTAAAAATTTTGAAACTTTCCATCCTGTCTTTTTTTCGAGTAAGAAAAAAAAGTGAGGGCTGTCTGTCAAGTTATGCTGAAGTTTGTATGTGTCATGATACTGTGTAATCAGACGCTCGTCAATTTTGGACATGCAGTATCATTTTAAAGCTTGTTCATTTGTCTTGTTTTTGGTGAAAAAAATACTCATCTATCATAAATAAAAGTTGAGATATTGGCAATTGAAGGAGGTGGGGGTGGCCTGGTTCAGAGGTAAACTTAGCGAGAAAATGGCTGCCAAATTTTTCCCTATGACGACACACATTTAGATATTGAAAAACAATTAACCAAGTGCTTCAGTCATCTGATAAAAATATCCCATAATCAACCAGCTGCACAAGCATACAAATGCGTGTGGTTCTCGGGGCCCTGTCCAAGAGATAGGGGAGCAAAGAATAGGACACTGTATCCGTACCGCGCATGTCGTAGAAGTCGACTAAGGTCGGTTGGGCAAAGGGTTAGCAGCCCTTTCCCGTAAAACAAAAAGCAGCTACAAAAACATCAACAGCAAAAACAACACGATCACCAGCTCTGGAAGATGGAGGACCTTCATCACCGAGGAGAGGAGAGAATATGGAGTGTAAACAGATAGAAAAGGATGCTCAGGACAGGCTTCGCTGGAATAAAGTTGTTGATGGCCTGTGCTCCACTGGGAGTTTAAAAAAAAGGGCAAGAGAGACAAGCATACAGCTCAAAAGTAAAGTAACATAAAGTAACATAACGTAAAGTAAATAGTAGAGTAAAGTAACGTAATGTAAAGTAACGTACATTAAGTAAAGTAAGAACAACCTGTGTGTTGTTGCACTCACTTCTCCATAAACGGCCTGAGCCTGAGAGCAATCCCTGGGTAAGGGTTATACGGCAGCTCATCCCGACTCAAGAGCTTCCTCACCAGGTTGTGAAATTCTTCCTCGATGCCCGTTTTGCTGAGATAGTTGCGAACTTTGTTCATGAGCACGGCGCCCGCAGGACCAGGGGGGGCCTCCAGAGCCTCACGGGCCACGCCCGACAGCGGCTTATGGGGGGAGGGGGGGGGGGATGAGAAGGAAGGTAGAAGAATCGTTTAATTTGTTAAAAATAGCAACATAAAGAGAAAAATTTGGGGTTCTTTTACAAGGAGAGGGAAGGAAGGAACATTAAAACATTCAAAACAGAAACTAAAGAGAGTTTTTCTTTCAGTAGAAGAACTCAAAGTGTGCTGAAAAGGAATGAACTTTTTATGTCAAATTCACACCACAAAAAGAATTATCTACAACAGAATGATTTTTCTTATTTTGTTTACCAAATTCATAATAAAATTAAATACTTGAAAGCTTGTTATATAATGAGAAGAAACAGTCTAAAAAAATTAATCTAGTTAAAAAAGCAGCAAGAATAAATTTTCTTTTCAAAAGCAGAAACTCAGTTACAAGGTGCAACAGAAGGGCCTTGTTTAAAATGTCACAATATTAAAAGCCTTACCTTAAAAAGTTACATTTTTCGAACTAGTGACCATTATTTTAAAATATTAAAGATGCATGGTAAGAATAGCCTTTTTATAAGATTTTAAATTCTGTTAGGATCAACGACGGAGACAGATTTCTCTCTCTCTCTCTCTCCATCTCTCTCCCTCTCCCTCTCCCCCCCCCTCTCTCTCTCTCTGTCTTTTATCTCTCTGTCTATTTCTCTCTCTATCTATTTCTCTCTCTTCATCCCTCTCTTTCGTATCATTGAGGAATGCGTGAGCAAAAGATTGGAGGAGAGAGTGAAATCAACATGTAGAATGTGTGTTGATGTTGTGCTTGTGCCTCTCGAGGCCATTCAATAAATGGCTATGAATAAAACAAAATCTGCCAGTCTGCTTTTGTTTTTTGTGTGTTTTGGAATATTGATCTGTGAATGTTACATGGAGTTTTGTTTCATGTAGTGTATTAAGAAATTTTGTTTCTTGTGTGTTATAAAGTTTTGTTTTGTGCAAGTGGTATGGAGTTTTCCTTTGTTTTGTGTTTGTTGTCTAGTTCTTATTTTTGTTTGTTTGTACGTGTTGTGGAGTTTTCTTTTCTATGTGCATATGAAGTTTTGTTTTTTGTGTTTTATTGTGTGTTATGGAGTTTTGTTTTGTGTGTTTTATGGATTTGTGTGAGTGTGTGTGTGTGTGTGTGTGTGTGTGTGTGTGTGTGTGTGTGTGTGTGTGTATGTTATGACACTGTCGTTTGATTAGGCCTGTGACACCATTTCACGTGCTGCATTGTTGCTACTGTGTGATGTTCTTGAGATCAGCACAGCTGCTGAGGAGTTCAAGATAGTAGGAGGGCGCCTTTTCTGTTCTTTCTGTCTCTTTTACTTTTTCCTGCACTAAAAAGTCAATGTTTTGTCAATGTGCTCCTCTTTACTCACTGACAGACAAACGAACAAACAAACAGTTTATGGGCTATAAAATCGAAGGCTTCTGACTGATTGAAAATACACATGTGTTTCACGTCCCTGTCGACTTATTTAGATCAATTAGATCGCGGGCTAGTTCATCTGCCTCATGCAACTTTCAGAAAAAACTCGGGGCTGGAATGGGTTACAACATCCCAGCTGAAAGCGGGGATACTCGATAAAGCAGACTTTGGGAACTGAGTTCGGCCTTTTACGTTGAACAATTCCGAGAACCGCGACAGCACAGACTCCGGTCCTATAACAGGGTCTTTGGGTGTGAAACTAGGCCTTCTCAGTTCTGAGGAAGCCTAGGTGTGAAACAATCGCACCGTTTACTTGAGTGATGTCTCAAATGTCTTAAGGAATTTTATGGAACGTCTGAAAAGATATTTATTATTGTGGGTTTTTTCAGTTCAAATATACACATAACAAATTCAAATGCCGCATAGAAAGACCAAATTACACCTTACAAATCCAAATATACAAATGACGTCATAAGCTTAAACGTAAACATAGAAGTTTCAAATGTAACACATAACACATTCAAATGCCACATAGCAATTCCAAATGTCAATATGCTTGAAATGGAGAAAAAAAGAGTCTAAAAGTATAAGAAGTGTATCAAGGTAAGAAGTAAAAGGGTTTGGGGATTTTTTGCACGAAAAAGTTCGATGTAAGTTATTTATTGTAAGCCGTGTGGTGCCACAAGGAAGAAATCACGCGAAACGAAACTTATTGTTAATTTTTATAAACCCGAAAAAAAATCCTCCTGTTTAAACAGAAATGAATGACTTTGATAAAAAAAATAATCAACAAACTGCTAGTGTATATATAACTAACTGGATGAAATGTAAAGCCAAGTTTACTTTTATTTAATTACAGTTGCACTACAAAACGCTGTGGCATAATATAGGCTTGCATTGATCTGAAGGTGAGTCTGCCGAGTGATCATTTAGTCTCCTGCTTCAGCGAACATCTGTTTTAAATCGTATTTCCAAAAAATGTTTCAATGGTGAAATGGAATAGCTATTAGGTTATTTAAGAGCTGGGACCTCCGAGATGAACGTCTATCTCCGAAAGGATCGATCCAAACGATATTCGTGTAAAGTGCCTTTCCCAAGGAAACCACGCCGGACCGAACTGAGGCTTCAACCCCCGAACCCGAGTCTTACGATTACAGGTCCGACAGCATAACCACTATGCTACCCACGTCACTAAATCGTATTTCCATATTAAGAAACGTTTTCACATATGGTAAGGCAAAGTATGCAGGTTGCAAGATATGTCGCATCGAGTCCATTTGATGAAACGAAACCGTTAAATGAAGCAAAAAATAAACAACAAAAATGAAAATGAAAATAAACAAGTTTAAACAAAAAAGAATGGTTATGATAACACAAGCGTTCTCGTGTACTTTAAGAAAATGCGTG